ACTTACAACTCCCGGGGCCCCGAGTGTCCTCTTTTTTCAGTGTTGAAATATGGTAACCCTAGGTGGAGAGTGGCGGGAGCCGGGAAAGTTGGAGCCCGGGGAGGAGGCGGCTGCGTGCTCAGATGCTGCCCGCCGCCTCTGTGCCCCGGCAGATCGCAGGAGTTGTAAGTTTTGCTGCAGCCACTCGCACTCGGGGTCCCCTTACCATATAGTTGGGGCGGGGCCGGGGTGGGAAAGGGGCGGGCCCAGGGCCCGTGGAGTGTCCTCATTTTTTATTTTTTAAATATGGTAACCCTACCTGAACCCCTCATTTCTGACCCCACCCCAGAGCCTGCACCCCCATTTTGAGCCTTCACCACCTCCCACACCCCAACCCCCTGCCCCAGCCCAGTGAAAGTGAGTGATGTTGGGGGAGAGCAAGCCATCCAGGGGGAATGTAGTGAGCGGGGGCAGGGCTAGGGTGTTCGGTTTTGTGCGATTAGAAAGTTGGCAACCCTACGCTCCAGCAGTGGAGGTCTGGGGAGAAGCGTCTGTCTCCCTCGGCAGCTCCCCTGCAGAGTCGGTCTCCTCCTGGGTCAGGGCACTGCTTGGCTCGGCAGCGACAGAGGCCTGCCGCGAGCCAGGCGCATCTGTCTCTTTCCCTGGCTGGGCTCTAACTGAGCTGGAGGTTCCATCTTTTGTACTTCCTGTCCCACGTCTCAACTTCTGGTAGGAGGGGCAAATCCAGCCTGACTCCGTCTACCTGGGCACAGAGAGTGGTTCCTCCCCTCTGGCTTGGAGGGAGGCCACACTGCCTCACTACACCCCTGTTTATGCTTCCAAGAATTGCATTAGCACTTTTGGCCATTGTATTACACAACAAGTTCAGCTGATTATCCATCATGGCCCCAAAATCTTTTTCAATCACTGCTTCTCAGAATAGATTTCCCTATGCTAGAAGTATGGCTTACATTCTTTGTTGCTAGATGTATACATTTACCCATATTAAAACACATTAAACCCCATATTGTTTGCTTGCATCTAACTTACCATACATAGAATTCGTCTATTTGATGTTTATTTTAAAATATGTAAGGAACTCAGACATTATGGTGCTGAGCATAGTATCAAAATCAAGTTAGATTAGCTAGATAGTCAGATAATTACTCTGAGCTATAGTGAGGAATGGGTATCTATAAATATATGTGGGTTTTTGCAAACAAAACATTTAAGACAATGAGAAAGACAATTTAATTGGGGTGGAAATGGATAGATATGTATTTGTAGTTAGTCACTCTGCTTAATTAAGGGGAGAAAAACCCAGTGGATTACAACTGTACTATAAATAAATTGTAACAAGTATACAGACGTAACAACTTAGTCCAATTAGTTTGTACATGAACATTTTTCTGATCTAAAATGTAGCTAAACATTTTATAAAAATATTTTTCAGACTCTTCTTTGTTTCTTAAACACAGTTTTAAGACTTCTAAAAAAAGAAAAAAGAGAAAAGATAAAGCAAACTTCAGGCAGTACTGATCAGACCTCTCTCTAAACAGAGACATAATAATTTACATTTTGAAAGAGTTATGTGATTCCCAAATCATGTCTGTCACATGAATCCAAACTTGTCTCAGTCTGATGAAGTCTTTTTCACTGTCCAATAGGAACCTGCATGTTTCAGAACGGATTGGAAAAAAGGGTGTTCCAAATCAGGCAGATTACTACAGATGTATGAATTACGATACTGTTGTTTAGAACTGAAAGACTACCAGATTTCACGTTCTGGAGCCAAGTTTCATGGATTCAAATTCCAACACTGTGGTTGTGACTGGTAAGTTTTTTGTTTTATTTTTTTTTTTAAATTTGCTTCCTCTTTTAGCCAGCCATGGAATGCACACATGCCTGATCTTTGTCATAAACGGTTCCCTGGAGGGAAATACAGTAGCAACTGGTCATAGTAACAATTCCAAATGGAAAATAACTCACTGCTGTGCCTTCCTAAGAAAATCAGATGTATATCTCCCCTTTATTGCCATCCAGTTTGGTTAGTTGATCCCTTTCTCTCTTTTAAAAAAGAAAACTTTGACGACATCTTCTCCAGTCCAAGTTGTGTAGCTGTCGGCAGTATAAACTAATGTTAGATGAACCTGACCCAAAAGGAGCTCTGAAGCAGCAAAACTAGGTTGCATCATGCCGCCACATAATCAGGGTCTAGAATTAGAACAACACATGGCAAATTTCAGGGTCTCAGTTTCATGGCAAGGTAAGAGAAAAATCACAAAAGGAACAGCAGCCTCATCACTGCTAAACTAGCCCATTAAAATTAAATATACCAGATAAGCACGCCTGAGCATGCAGGTCAAGGCACCAGATTTGAAAGTTTTCTCGCTAGCGATAGGTTATGCTGAATCACAACTGCAGACCCACCAACTAGAGAGGTTTTTGAACTTTAAAAGGTTAAAACTCTTAAGGAATGCTGCTACCCACTGTAGCTCTTGACATGTGAGTTGCTGGATAATTTTCCACTATAGGGCATCTGAGGACATAGGGATGAGGCTGAAGCTACATCAACATGTTTGCCCATGATGAGCTCCTTGTTAGTTTTTCCCCTTACATGGTCCTTTAGGTAGAGACTCCACTTGTTGAAATAGCTTTAGAATGACGTGTCTGTTAGACGCACAGGTGCCACTTAGAGGTAATATAGAGAATTATCATAGCGTGCCTCAATCCCATTTTCACCTGCTTGTAATATAAACTTGCTGGCGCTGCTCGCAGCTTTATTATCAACTATCTAATAATATTTCAGCCAATTTGATTTCTGTGTTGGCTTAACTATTTCAATACAGTAAGACCTTCTTACAGTGATTTCTTTTAATAAAACAGCTTTACCCTAAGCAATAGTTCTTTCTGACCACAGCTGTAATTTACATGTTGCACTGTGACCCAGTTCAGAATTTACATTTTACTATAAACAGAGTTTCACTCTGACTTGGTACCACTATATTCTTCACTGAAAGTGAAATGGAACAAGCATGGAATGATCTATATTTCCTTTTCGGGAAGAAAGGGTGTCCTTTATTTCACCACCACCACCACACACAACAGTGAAGCCTGTGAAACTCATTGTCACAAGTTATCATTGAGACTAAAAGCTTAGTATGATTTTTAAAAAAGGATTAGATATTTGTAGGAAGAAAAGGGGGAAAAAAGGAAGAAAAATAAAAAAGAAAGGGAAAGGGAAAAGGAAAAGACAAACACTGGAAGCAATTTAAGGCAGGTGTACCATACAGGTGGCCTAAAAAAATATTTGAGTTTTTTAACAGAGTCACTGCAGCCTTTATACTGTAGCTAAGGCTGTATAGTTTCCATAGAAGTAACGTACTTTTTTAGGGACCAAAAGGGCAAATTTTATGTACTTCAGCCAATATTTTATTACATTTTTGATACTCTTTTTTTCATTGGGGTTTATTTCAAAAATGATGTGCTTTAAAAAATAGGGATTAAAATAGCTTTACAGGCTTATCTGTATTAGTTGTTCCACTGACCAGGATCTAAGACATTGTCTACAATCCACAAGTGCATACCTGTACTATCTGATGTGATTTGGGATGGGGATGCAGAGAATGGGATGAGTAGAGCTAGTGGGGAATTTTTTAAATAAATGTTTTTCCCGACAAAATGCCTTTTCAACCAAAAAGAAAAGTGGTAATTTTTTCATTTTTGATGGAAAATTTTTAAACAAGAAATTGATTTTCTTTTTTCAAAAAACTGTCCATTCATCTCAATGGGCAACCCCTTTCACTTTTTTCCCCACCTTTTCCACATGGAAAAAAGATAAGCGAGAGAAAGTGGGAGAGGTTTTACCTACCAAAACAAAGCAATTTTTTTCAAAACATTTAAAAGAAAATTGATTAAAACATGATCATGAAATATACTTTACCTTTTTCAATGAGCTCTAGCGCTCAGGATGCTGTAGCGATAGTAAATGGAACAGAACACAATTTGATTTCAACACTTTTTCCTATAAAAACTATTCTAAATCACTTGACACTGATTTAGTAGGTAATGATGGGGCTGAGTCTCCTATTGTGAGAGTAGCCCTGTTGGTGCCAACATACCCACTCACTTCAATTACACTAACCACCTAAGAAAGAATTACTTAGTAAGCATTGCAGAATCAGGCCCTAAGTGGATGCATGTGTTCTCTGTAAAAAGGGAGATACACCTCTACCCCGATATAACGCTGTCCTTGGGAACCAAAAAGTCTTACCACATTATAGGTGAAACCACATTATATCAAACTTGCTTTGATCCGCTGGAGCGCGCAGCCCCGCCCCCGGAGCACTGCTTTACCGCGTTATATCTGAATTTGTGTTATATCGGGGTAGAGATGTCATAGAATTCCCTTAAGTATTACAAAGGCTGGTCTATCCAGTCGACTCATAGTCCACAACCAAGAATATCAAGGTCAAAAAGAACAAGTACATGAGTGCATATAATCCAACTCATGGTACTTGGAGTTCAAGCACAGTTTAATAGCACCTTTCTTTGATTTCAGGCTTTGGTCCCTTTCGACAACACCTCATTAACTCTAGCTGGGAAGCAGTGAAGGTAAGCACTGAAGAGGTTTTTCATGCAGGTCCATGTAGGAAACAAGAAAGGGGGATGCTTTGACTATAACTTCGTTCCTTCCATTGTTTGTCCATAGCCCAAAGCCGGTTCTTTTGTAATACACTAACAAAAAACAAAAAAGGGGGGGGGGGGCAGAGGAAAAAGCAGAAACTGCTGAATGAGTAAAAGATGAAAATGCACATATTACTTATAATGCTTAATTTTGCGTTGAGGTTTCTAAATCTGCCTTTTAAGTAACAGCCTTGCCTTGAAGAATTTAAAAACTGGACATATTTTTGCTATAGTGCCAGAACACCACCTTCCAGCATCAAAGAAAATGCAAAGGCAATACGTTCGTTATATTTCAGGGGACATCTGCTAAGTGAACGGAACTAAAATTGTATATTTACACACATGCATATATACACACACACACAACAACCTTAATTATAGAAATTGGAAAATAATCACTTTACTACAACAATCCCTAATAGTCTGTGAAAAGAACAGGAGTACTTGTGGCACCTTAGAGACTAACAAATTTATTAGAGCATAAGCTTTTGTGGCGGATCCTCATTACCCACTGTCATGTCAGATAGCTATGAGCAAAGATCATACAGTGTCCCTTGGCTCCGAGTGTGCCTTTTTGCTCAACTTTGCCTTCCCACTTTCAGTTGTTACCAGCCTCCGCTGTTAATACTGAAAAACAAAATTATTCAGATATGGGTTTTCCCCACTGCTGGACTCTATCTGTAACAAAAACATCCCTGAATTCCACCTTGCTACAGCCAAGGAAGATGAGCTTTGGAAATTCCTTTTTGCTCCCCAACCACATCTAGGAGACCCATATTTGATCATTTCATCCATTTACTGCAGGTGTTAAAAAAAACGGTGGTTTTCAATTAATATTTGGAGGAGTCCATATTTCCTGGCAAGCACCATTTCCCCAAATAAGGTCAGGTAAATTTCTGATTACGTTTTAAAAGCATAACTTAAAAGGCTCATCTGGTGTTAAACCAAGCCAAACCTCACTTCCTCTAATCTGATTTAGGGTTGTTGCACTCAGACATAAGGGGAGGCTGAACTTGACAAATTTCAGCAGCGGGCATGTGGCTAACTGTAAAATAATAGCCTATTCCATTATATTTGAAAACTGCACTTATTGTAGCAGCAGGTTTTATATGATTTATTAGTTGGGTATTTTAGTACCATAGCGCTCTCAAAAAGGTTAAAGGCTGTCATGTATTTCTGAGCAGCAGGAGCAGCTACAGATTTCTGCTCAGTGTGTGTACGCGTCATCTCTGTTCAGTACAATTTCCAGCCATTTGTAACACACAAAATGGCTGCTGCAGGTTTCAACACACAACCTCACCCCCATTCCATTTTCTCTCCTTGGGTATTTATTTGTACAATTAATCTAAGAGAAAGTCGTTCACACAAGCTATATCAATGTACTTGGCTGAGTCACATGGACAGACAGAACTGCAAAATAGAAAAGAGATTATGAAAATGAGATTTGAAGTGAGATGGAGGATGGATGAGGTAGAGAGATTGAAGGGGAGGGGGAAGAGAACAGGTTCTGGATGATGATAGAAAAGCGGAAGATGCAGAGAATAATAGTGATAGTGTACAGCAGGGCTGAGAGGAGCCCAGGGAAAGATGAACAGAGGTGGCGGTCATGGTCTGATAAGTTGGCTCAAACATGTCCTAAAGAAAACAAGAAAAAGAGAGAGAAAGATAGGTGCAAGATTCATCTGGATCATTGAATACATGAGGAGCCAATAGAGTAACAGCAAAAGTAAGACGTTTGTGCACCATAATAACCGTACTTGCTGATGATGCAGTGTCCACTGCTACAAGATTACATCCTTTATGCAAGCTGTAATGATAGCTATTGAAGATTTGACTTTAATTAAATTGAAGTGCAGTAAAGCCAAGATTATTGAGATACTCCCTGTTGGCAAATTTTCCCCAGGATCAAAGCAGAAACCAACTCCTCTAGGAATACAGTTGTCTTCAATGAATGTGTACAGGAGAGGGCAGGGGGTGGGGACACAGATCAGCACTGGAGGGGGATCTTAGTGTTTGGAAGAAGAAATCCATTAGGCATTCAGTGAAGTGATGAGGAGGAAGGGTAATCCAATCCCCGTAGGCTACTAAAAGCAGAACACATACTTCTGTTGTACCTTTCAGTACCCCAAGCATATCAGGAGGCCTATAAGTTATCCCAACCCGAGCTTGACGTACACCCCAAGCCACAAATATTTATCACTTGACAATACGCTTGGTCATCACCACCTGATTTCCATTGGTCCTAATTTTAGACACAGTATCATCTTATCCTGGTTGAAAATAAAATACGTTCTTTATCTGCAAGCAGAACAGCCTAAGGCCAGAACGCGCTGATGAAACAAGTTTTTGTAACATCATGTCATGTGCCTTCTGTGCCAGGAAATTAGGTAACGATAGCTAAAACATTCTATAATTAAAAATACCTAAGTCACGGAGCACAGAGATCAAATCCCCTTCTCTCAGCTCCAACACCCTGTATGTGGGATTAGTTTCTGCTTGTATTGGAGATACTGCCTCGGTTTCTGATTCCATTGTGGTGCAAGGAAGCAAAATCTAGATGATGGAAAGAACTATGCAGCAAAACAGGAAGAGTCTGGAACTTTGATAGACCAGTGAGTTGTTCTGGCTGGCCTACACTTAAATAGCAATCTGGGGCCAAATCCCACTGGCCTTGATCAGCCGAGTAGTCCTGGGACTTCAGGAGGCCTACACAAACAAGCTAAAGTCAGCAGAATTTGGCATGTACATTTGGTTGGTCTGAGCTCCTGCTCTCCTTACACAATCCGCCACATTCCTTATGGGGCCTCTTCTAGCCCCACCGCCACCAAGGACTGACATATTACAGGCACCCTCCTTCTAGTCAAAGAGAACTGGGCCAAATCCTGCTCTCCTTATTTACACTGAAAACCTGTTGATGACCATGGGAATTTGACTGGAATAAGGCAGGATTTGGCCCTCATTGTGGAGCTTAGCAGCAGCGATTCTAAGGTGACTGGGGGGTCTGTGTGTGGCTCACTAAGTGATGCAAGGCAATCCTGCCACCCCAGAGGACCAACCATTAACACACCCAGGTTCAATATAAAAAGGACTGTACAGTAGTAGCAGCTTTACTGACCCCATCCATTCAGGCTGGCTGTCTATCTAGAACGAGTTGGCTCTCCCCTAAACACTGCCTCATGAGGGTTTGTGTAAAGCCAGTCCCAGCAGGGCAGCCACTTCCCACCTATTTGTAGGTCAGAGTTTAGTTTAATCCCCAGTTCCTGCAGGAGCACGGCAGCAATCACAGAACCCAAAAGCATCGATGCAGTTTCACCCTCAATACTCTTCAGCATGGAGCATTATAGGCAGATTCCTCTCATTCTGGGAACAAAGACTTCTCTCCCTTGGGCCATACCTTTCCTCTTAAAGCCCTGCTTCCTTAAGACAACCCAGCTGCCAGGCCCTCTGTCTCAGGTTGGCAGCTTCAAACCTCTCTCCTCAGGGAGTGGCAGGTACTTTGCTCTTCCAGATACGATTACTGAGCCCTTCTCTTTGCTAATTGTAGGATACACTCCCCAATCCCAGCCGCATGGATCCATTGAGAGCAGTCTTTCCTTCTGTTATTTCAAAGCATTAGTCAGGCACACAAATGTGGGGAGGGTCATTTGGAGGACAGTGCTTCTATTTTCGGTGACTAGGCTGAATTCTCCTTTATTGCCATCCTGAGGAGCCAGAACACAAGAATGAATGAGCCAGTCTAGGTCCATGACTGCTACCAGGCTCTGAACTCATTCATACTGTCCTGGAAAGAGACATTGTGATGGGGTGTACCAGGCCCTTCGAGGCCCCCTGCTCCTACCTCACCCCACCCAGGAAAGGAGCGGTGAAGGTAAGTCCTCCAGGCCTGCCTAGAAAGGCTGCAAGGAAGCAGCCAATCAGAGCACAGCAGGCACAGTTAAAAGGAGTGCAGGGCTTGAGTTAGTCAGTTCTGGGCTGGGACCAGAGGAGTAAGGAAGGGTGCTTCTTGCTTGATGCTGGAGCTCCAGGGAAAACCAGAAGTTGGGTTCTGGTGGAATTGGCATTTGGTGAGGGAGAAGAGGAATTGAGAACTTCAGCCCTGAAGTAAGGATGAAGAGGAAGGGGCTACATGGGAAGCAGTCCAGGGAATGCAGCAGCAGCAACTATTAAAGAAAGCAACAGGTGGTGGCTATTTGTAGGGTCCCTAGAGTTGGGACCTGGTCCCCCCACTGGCTGCTGGGGAAGCAGCTTAAGCCCAAGAGATAAGACTCAGTATTAAGTCCATTAATGGCTATTAGCCAGGATGGGTAAGGAATGGTGTCCCTAGCCTCTGTTTGTCAGAGGGTGGAGATGGATGGCAGGAGAGAGATCACTTGATCATTACCTGTTAGGTTCACTCCCTCTGGGGCACCTGGAATTGGCCACTGTTGGTAGACAGGATACTGGGCTGGATGGACCTTTGGTCTGACCCAGTATGGCCGTTCTTATGTTCTTATTAAAGGCCTGAGAAACGGGCTAGAATTTAAACAGAACACCAGAGAACTGCTGAGGACAAAGTCACCAGGGAGAAAGCCCTGGGAACAATGCTCTATACCAGTACAGGCATGGACTTAAAGCTAGCTCAGAAGGACTTTTTACCCTGGAAGTGGTTCCTTCCTGGGTTGAGTCAATGAAGACCTGCCTGACAAGGGCAACAGCCAACAGAGGGGACCAGGAGCAGAGACAGGGGGCAGGTTCGCACTCAGTGGTCAGGAAACGCTCACGAGACATCTAAAAGGATTTTGCTTTCCTAGTTGGTAAAACACTGCATTTGAGTGCCTATTTTTTGATATAAATAAAATACACAAAGCATGTGAAAAATACCTGCCATGTTTGTATTAGCATGAGTTCACATCTCAGCCCGAGAAGATACACACGCAAGGCATCCATCA